AGAAACCACAGGGATGTTCTTCTTTTTAATATTACTTATCTTATTCATTCATCTTTATTTTGGTTCATTGAATATGTTTAGGAATACCTTCCAAACTGAAACATCCAGAGAAGTGCTGTCTCCTGTCATGGTGAGTTTTTATAAAATCTACAGCCTCCTGGAAGGTCTGAATTGTTTAGCTGTTTTGTCAAATGTAAGAAAAACAACTAACATAATGAATGAAGCTTTTTAACCCTTAGCCTATTACCAAATATTCATACACAGTGTAGTTTGCATAGGTTTCGATTGCACTGCTTCCTGTATAAGTGCCAGTAATCCAGTAATAGCTTATTAGTTCCCCATTGTTTAATTTACTTGAACTGCAGAGAATAATTAATGAACAAAGTTGTGAAATTCTTAGTTTACAGTATATTTAAAATGCAAGTATTTTAGTAGGGCTCTTTCTGTTTTACTTCAATTCTCTAAATATCACTAGAATATAGATAGAAATGTAGAAAATAATGTATAAGGTGAGAAAAATGTTCCACATAACTACAGACCACCTATTGTTACTCAGTCCCATTTACTGTGGTATAATAATTTCACATTTTGCCACTTTGTTTCATTTAAATCCTCTGAAAACCTCCAACCTATAGCTGCACCTGTCCTCATCTAACCCTGACAGGTTTCCTGTCCAATCTATTTCAAAATCTCACCCCAAGGTTTGGTGAAAAGTTGGCAGCCCTGCTATCCAGAGGGAAAGCAGCCCCTCTACCTCCCTGGGTCAGCACCAATTCTAAAAAGCTTGACCAAGGTTTACCCTAGTTTTTTTTCTTTTTTGTTGTATTTTCATGAATCTGAAAAATACAACTGACAGAAGAAGCAATTAGTTTAATAAAAGGGCTCCTATTAGTGCAAATTCCTGTAATGCTAATCTTGGCATCATAACGAAAAAAATATATTGATACATTATGGAGCCATCAACAATTATTCAACTATCTCTTTTATATAATTTCTTTCAGAGGTCACGGATTAGCGGACCAGGGTCCTGATCCGGGCACCTGCTGGCTAATCCAGACCCAACCTGATTTAAAACATTTATAAATTACTGCATGTTGTCTGAAGACAGTGTCTAACTTCACTTGCGCCGCTTCTCCTGTTTCTATGGTAAAGCCATCCAGAGCGTCCAGCATCAGACTGCACGTGATACAAATTAGCCAATGAGCTGAGTCAGTCTGGGTCACTGCGACGAGCCACAGTACACAGCAGGCAAACCTGTGGCAAGCCGAGAAGACAATGAGAAAAAGAGAGCAGAGAAAACGTGGACTGCTGAAAGAAGCAATGTGAACTTGTGAAAGAAAAGTGAAATGGTGTGCTCAAAGATGACCCTGCACATTTAGAGTATGTTTGGCTCAACCTGCTGCTGTGAAGCAGGATTCTCCACCATGAACAGAATAAAATATAAATATGGATCCAGGCTCAAAATGAGCTCCTTGATATGCGCTCGAGAATTGCTTTGTCTCCATTCAAACCCAGGTTTAAAGCCTTGCAGGGCAGCATAAAGCCCACTGCTCTCATTAAGTCATAAAAAAAGAAAGAAAAAAACACAAAAAACACAGTTACATTTATTTTCCTCTCATTAAAACTGCAAGTTGTGAACCTTTATACAGTCTTAATAAACACTTCAGTAGTTAATATCAATTCAGCCTGACTTAATGTCATCTTAGTACTCACACCAAACTTCCAGAGCCACAGGATCCGATGATAGCAGTGGTTTTAGTCCTTCAACAGTACATGAATAGTTTCCAGCATCTTCTTTCTGAGCCCTAAACGTTGTTTCTGTCACTCTGCGTCCATCTCTGAACCAGACTATTCTGGGGTTTTGGCACTTTGTGCTACATTGAAGGGTCACATTATCTCCGGCGTTTACTCTCCTGGGGTGTATGCTGGCTTTCAGCCCTGATGATCCTGCAAAGACACAACTTCAAGTAGAAATCACATTCACCCTAAAAAAACAAAAAACAAACAATGTTTATTTAAAACTATTTTACCTATGACAGAGAGAAGAACTGACTGCTTACTGTTCCGTCCAAACTTATTAGTGTCAAACCAGAAGTAGTAATATCCAGCATCGCTCTCCTGCACGTCTTGAAGGACCAGGCTGCAGTTCTTTGTATGGTCACCCTGATATTTAAATCGATTTTTGTACGTTAATAGAGTTGAAAGCTTAACACGTTTCCACGTCCCATTTTGGAGCAGTCCTTTGCACCATCCAGTCTCTCTGACAGATTCATCTTCTGGGTAGTGATATGAACACTTGAACTCCACTGAAGTCCCCTCCAAAGCACAGTAATCTGGATTTTCAAAAGTCACTGACCAAGCAGCACTCACTTTAGCTTCTGCTGCTGCAAAAAAAAAAAAGAAAAACAGAAAAGAAAGAGAAGAAAAACATCAAATTTAACTTCACCCTAAAAAAAAAAAAACAATCGTAAGAGTAATAGAGGTAGCAAGTAGGCCTATTCCCCATGATTAAATACAGGAATCTTTGGTAGCAATAACAAGTCATAATTGTTACTATATCTTTTGTGTCTCATTTCTTGTGGAGGAATTTTTATCCAGCACTGCTTCAGTTCATAAGATCTGCGGAGTTTTCTAATTGTTCTGTGACAAGGAAAATTGAAAACTTTCCTATCCATCCATCCATCCATCCATCTTCCTCCGCTTATCCGGGGTCGGGTCGCGGGGACAGCAGCTTAAGAAGGGAGGCCCAGACTTCCCTCTCCCCAGCCACTTCTTCCAGCTCTTCAGGAGGAACCCCAAGGCGTTCCCAGGCCAGCCGAGAAACATAGTCTCTCCAGCGTGTCCTGGGTCTTCCCCGGGGCCTCCCCCCGGTGGGACGTGCCCCGAACACCTCACCAGGGAGGCGTCCAGGAGGCATCCTAAACAGATGCCCAAGCCACCTCAACTGGCTCCTCTCGACGTGGAGGAGCAGCGGCTCTACTCCGAGTCCCTCCCGGATGACCGAGCTTCTCACCCTATCTCTAAGGGAGAGCCCAGCCACCCTACGGAGGAAACCCATTTCGGCCGCTTGTATCCGCGATCTCGCTCTTTTGGTCATGACCCAGAGTCCATGACCATAGATGAGGGTAGGAACGTAGATCGACCGGTAAATTGAGAGCTTCGCTTTTTGACTCAGCTCTCTCTTCACCACGACGGACCAGTACAGCGCCCGCATCACGGCAGACGCTGCACCAATCCGCCTGTCGATCTCCCGCTCCCTTCTTCCCTCATTCGTGAACAAGATCCCAAGATACTTAAACTCCTCCACTTGGGGCAGGACACCCCCCTTGACGCGGAGAAGGCACTCTACCCTTTTCCGGCTCAAGACCATGGCCTCGGATTTGGAGGCACTGATCCCCATCCTGGCCACTTCACACTCGGCTGCGAACCGATCCAGCGAGAGCTGCAGATCACGACCTGATGAAGCCAATAGGACCACATCATCTGCAAAAAGCAGAGACGCAATCCTAAGGCCAGCAAAACAGATCCCCTCAACACCTTGGCTGCGCCTAGAAATTCTGTCCATGAAGGTAATGAACAGAATCGGTGACAAAGGGCAGCCCTGGCGGAGTCCAACACTCACCGGAAACGAGCCCGACTTACTGCCGGCAATGCGGACCAAACTCTGACACCAGTCATACAGGGACCTGACAGCCCGTATCAAAAGGCCCGGCACCCCGTACTCCCGGAGAACCCCCCACAGGGCCCTCCGAGGGACACGGTCGAACGCCTTCTCCAAGTCTACAAAGCACATGTAGACTGGTTGGGCGAACTCCCATGCACCCTCCAGGACCCTGCTGAGGGTGTAGAGCTGGTCCAGCGTTCCAAGACCAGGACGGAAACCACACTGCTCTTCCTGAATCCGAGGTTCGACTATCCGACGGACCCTCCTCTCCAGCACCCCCGAATAGACCTTGCTGGGGAGGCTTAAGAGTGTGACTCCCCTGTAATTGGAGCACACCCTCCGGTCCCCCTTTTTGAATAGGGGGACCACGACCCCAGTCTGCCAATCCAGGGGGACTGCCCCCGATGTCCATGCAATGTTGAAGAGTCGCCTCAGCCAACACAACCCTACAACATCCAGGACCTTGAGGAACTCCGGGCGGATCTCATCCACCCCCGGAGCCCTGCCACCGAGGAGCTTTTTAACCACCTCGGCGACCTTTCCTAAATGTTCAAAAATACTTAAATACAAAAAAATTATGGGTGATTCACTTGTGAATAAAAACATTTTCTCTCTCTTTTTTAAACAAGTGTTTGGATTGGTGTGTATCAGAGATGTCTTGGTCATTGCTGATGTCTTAAGCTTTCCATTGCATCAGTAGATGACTATATGCTCTACAGCAGCAACGTGCCTAAACTTCTGCTTTTATGGAGACTTTTTACTGATGAACAGTTCATTTCATACTTGTGACGGTGTGATGACAATAATGTTGAATTCTATTCTATTCTATTCTGATATCAATTATTTAATCAGCAGAAAATAGCTGCAGCACATGTGGGGTAAAAGTTTTGTGTAAACTTCACCTAAGCTGTTTTTCGTTTTGTTCAGTGCCTTCTGAAACAAAAAAATGCTCATATATTTCACTGAAGATACAAAAACAACATAACATTCATAGCTAGTACATGTTTGTAAAAACATTCAGTATTAAGATAACTCATATAAATTAAAGTAAAGTTGTAGTAATAACACAAACAAATTAAGTCTACAGCAGCTGAGTCTTTCTTAGCCAAAACTGAAAGTCTGAAAATAGCAGAGGAATAGAAGAGCTCCTGGCACCACCTCATTTGCATATGAAACGGATAAAGAACTGCATTGCAATGCAAGTAACGGTCTTGTTGATGCTTTGACAGAAAACAGGATAGTTTTTTCAGAAACCATTAAGTATTAGTCTTTGCTTTCAAGGATTTCGGAATGATTTACCGTAGATGTAATCCAACATTTAAGCTGATTGGATGAAAGTTCTGAACAAAACTGCTGGGTCTGAACCCTGAGAAACATTTATAAGTCCAAGTCAGGTGAACCTTTAAGTTGAGGTCTACTGATTAGTGTTAAAGTGTTCAAATAGTCGAGTATTTAACAGTCTTAGTAACAAGATATTTTCTTACCTTGCTGCAGTAGTAGAAATATCAGCACTTTAAACATGTTCTACAGAAACTAGGAATAACAGCTGATAGTTCATAGACTAAAGCCCACTTAAATTAAAACCATGGCTTCAAATTCAAGAACCAAGTGCTTTGAGGAAGTTTTAAGTGGAAGTAGGAGGATCTGTAAGCAATATGTAAATAACCTAGGAGAGAATTGGGCGTTACTGTCATGTTTTTGGTTATGTTGTTCTTTACTTTGCTCCATGTTTCCTAGTTTTATTGGTTTAATTCCTATTTTGTTGTAGTTTCACTTTCATGGTTTTGGTTATGTTGTTCTTTACTTTGCTCCATGTTTCCTAGTTTTAATGGTTTCATTCCTATTTTGTTGTAGTTTCTAGATTTATGTTAGTTCTCAGGTTTTTCTGTTTTCCTCTGTCACGTCTTGGTTGTAGTTAAGAGGACCCAAAATGCAGAGGCAGAGAGGCTGAGGTGAATTCTTGTAGTTTTAATGAAAACACTAATAGCACAGGCAAAATCCAAAAATCCATCTAAAATGTAACTCAGACCAGAACTACGGAGACATCAAGGGTACAAGGAGCCAGGGAGAGATGAGGTGAGAGGAAAACAGCGACGACAGGACCAGCAACGACAAGGAACCAACAAGGAGTGACTGCAGAGGGAGAGTATATGTAGCTGACTGAGACAATGGCAGGGCTAACGAGCTGACAAGGAGCAGGTGTGAGAGGAGACAACGTTTCATCAAAGACAGCTGAACCATTCACACAGATAAAACATGCTTTTCAAAGTCTTTAAAAGAAAAAAAACAGAACTTATGAGTCTAAAAAAGCATTCTGTTCATTTTTGTGTTTCATTGGAGGAAATGACCTCAGTCAATCCTTATAGAAGGAACTTGAACGCATTGAATGTAAGCTGCTTCAATAACATCCAACCTTCACTGCAGAACCAATTTTTTTATAGCGCTCATTTTTTCCCCGCAACTATTTTAAATTGGTTACTAATATAAAGTGGGAAACAGGTTTTTATTGAGGGGAGTACAGGTTTGCAGGGCTATCTGAAGGAGGTCCACATACTAAGAAGGAGTTTGTTTCTCAAATCTTTTTTCGATTGAAGTTTCTAATAATTAAATATATTAAAGTTAACGTTTTGCACAAAAGAGATAAGGTCAATGTCTATATTTGCAGTTTCTGAAATTCAATTTATAACTTAAAATAAACTAGATGCTAGACAGAAGTGGGCACATGTCTGCATTTGAATGTGTTTGTGAATGGGTATTTTTGATTATAGTGTGAAACGTCTTTGAATTTGACCAAGTGTTAGGAAAGTACAAGCTAACATTTGTTTTTAACATGTATCCATTTTGCATAAAGAGACAGAACTGTTAACATTTTAAAACTCAGCAACAGACCTACACAGGCAAGTGGAGGTAAGTAAAAAAAAGGGTTTCAGAGTTTAGGAAAGAAGAAACTATGCTAATAAGCTTGGACAGTGCTGGATGATATCCCAAATGATTTATTTCATAGCATTTATAGAATAAATCTAGGACTAGCATCATAAGCACTGACACGTTTAGTTACCAAACAAAAAAATTTGAACCAATGCTGTAAACAATGTTACTGTAAAATAAATAAAATCTTATATTATTCTAATATTAAATTAAAAAACTACCACTTTTAGAGTGTTGTTATTTTAACCTTCTATTTTACTGTGTAAGAGAATTCAACACTTCGTATTCAACATTCCCATCATTCCAAAAAAGTTAAAAAAAACAATCCACTGGACATCTTCAGACTTGGAAAGAAAAGTCCAATGGATAGTTTTTTTTTTTTTTTTTTTACTTATTTTCTGAATGACTATAGCCTGGATGACTGCCAGCATTACCATCATTGTATTTTTTTTTCAGTAACCCAGACAAGCGCCTCTTTAAGCTACTGTTGCTGCACAGTTCTGAGAAGCTCACTAATGTCCCTGCTACCATTGTTGTTGCTTTTGTTGGTTGTCTGTTCCTTTGTCTTCCCTGTGTCCATTTGCAGGAGCTCCTCTAATTTCTTCATCTGGATTGCCACAAGAAACTGTTTCTTTTGTACCGACACAGCAGCTGGTTTTATGGTTTTGCTGTTTCCCTTTTTCTCTTTCTCTCTCTCTGCCTAAATTATATGTCTCCTCTTCTTACCAACAAAGTCTCTCTTTGCAAACCAAATGTGTTCGGTATAGCGTGGCACCCAGATTTCAGTTCTGCTGCAATAATGCTAAACACAGCAAAAAAAACAGAAAAACAAAAACACTGAGTGGCGCTCCCCCCAATTCGGGAACCACTGCCTTACACCACAACCATGTAAACGTGCCAAATAGTATCAATTTTATCTGTTACTTGTGAGCCTAATTCATATTGGCTGAAACTTGCTGTTGTTGCAATATTATTTGCAAATGTGTGTGGAGAGTTGTTTCTCTGTACCTGGATTTGTGTGTTTGCCCCAATGTAATGAAGGATGCAGAAGATTTGTGTTATAGATTCATCTCCTCACTGCATCAGTTCAGTTGGTTGACCATGTCTTTATGAGGTTGCAATTGTGTCACATTATAACTATTTCTGACTGATGGGTTGAAAAGATTTCTTTAAAAAGCGAAGGGTGATTTGTTATTTTGTCCTGCTGAAGTGAAATTCACATTTTAATCACTGGTTTTTCTTTTGTTCTCCAAAAGGTGACCTTGTAATGAAGTTGCTCTGCATTTTCATCATAGAGATCTAAAGAGGCTGAAGCTATGAAAGGAAAATTTTTTAAAGATGTGTATACACTCACCGGCCACTTTATTAGGTACACCTGTCCAACTGCTCATTAACACTTAATTTCTAAGCAGCCAATCACATGGCGGCAACTTAGTGCATTTAGGCATGTAGACATGGTCAAGACAATCTCCTGCAG